CTACCCCATCTCCCTATTTTGGGTGTATGGGGCTTATTTTGCTGAGCCCAAGTCTGGCTTGAGCCCCTCATGATTCCCCATCTCTCTTCGGTGCTGAGCCCAAGTCTGGCTTGAGCCCCTCATGATTCCCCACCTCTCTTTGGTAGTCCTAGTCCTTTCCATCGGCTGCTGCTTTATTCAGGTGGTGAAGGCTTCTGGGAGTTGAAGTCCAAGAACATCTGGAGGGCCACAGTTCAACACCACTGTCCTAGTCCTTTCCATCAGCTGCTGCTTTATTCACTCACTGCCCCTTCCTTTCCAAGGTATACCTCCTCTTCCTAGCCCTCTTTCCCCAAGCCCTTCTGTCTGGTTTGATCCTCCGGGTTGTGAGCAGGCCGAGTCGTCTCTCTGTCCAGCCTTTCTGTGGTACTGTTGCAGTTCTCATTCAGTCTCTTCTCCAGGTTTCATCATCACCGCCATATTCCTCTTTAATGCAGCCCACCATGAGAACAAATGCTCATGTATTATTTATTATGAGCCTATAATTAGCTAATGAGTACACGCTGGCAGTATATCCCTAAAAGTGTGCTTTTATAGATAGATAAAATCTATCTCTCAGACCTATAAATAAGCATTTATGTTGCAGCATTATGCATATTTTATGGAAAGCAGCATTTTGTGCTTCCAATGTTGTTACCATCCTGAGACCTTGTGAATAAAACAAGTTATAAACATAGAAAATAGGAATACAGTGCAGCTCATCATGCAACCGATGTTTACTTATCCAAAGAACTCTTTTGTTGTTTTTTTCAAGATCAGAACTCCAGGTACCTCACAGTCTGAACTAAGGAGTGCCCTGGTGGCAGCTCTGGCTGAGTCTTATGGTGCTTCTTTTGAGATCTTGGGGAGAATACTTTGGTTCAAGCCCTTTCAGGGTCGTCTCCAGCTGTTGTCATGCCCAAGGGACATAAAATTCATGCTTAACAGCCAAAGCCTCTTCACTTCCACATCAGAAGCTGGGTGCTGCAGTGAGGGCGGGGGTAGGGGCATATTACATGAGGTCAGACCATTCCCACAAAGGCTCCACCAGCACTGGGCAGGGGCCCTGTCCCACATGGGTGTGTAGGGCTCCATCTGCAACCAGAACCAAATGCGTGGCGACTCTGGCTGTGGATGCGCAGCACTGATGCTGTGCTGCAGGGCCGTCTGACCATGCAGCTTAGAGTGAACATTGCACGAGGCACATTTCCCTCCCCCCATGAAGACCCACACGGGTGCCTGTTGTGCAAACCCACAGACAAGATGGTAAGTCTGACCCAGAATTGCATTCCTCCCTGGAGATGGCAGGGTGGTATTTGAATGCTGCCCAGATTAGAGGTGGGTACAAACGGCCAGTTGGTCCTCCAGAGGAACAGGGGTTTGGCTGTTCCCAGTCCTGCCTCCCCCAGTGGGCACCCACTCCGAGCAGTGCCTGGAGAAGGCGGGGCAGGGAAATGGGGCACTGCCTTTGAGTGGGTGATCGCTCTTTACATTGAGTTAATTGAAATACGTGCCACTGCTGAAGCCAATTACCGTCCAATTTTCCCGCCGATCCCTTTTCCGCCAGATTAATACTTTTACAGACTCGTGTGTAGAAGGTAATAGCAACCAGGTTTTTGTTTGCTGCCTAAAATTGGCAATTTGCTGGCTCAATTGGGTCTAAATTAATCTACGCGTTAGAAAAGTCTTACCTCTTGCATCTCCTGCCCTAAACCATAGCATCTAATTGCTGAAATTATAAGAAAACAGTCATGGACAGATTGGATTCAAATGACCATATTTGCCTATGGGGTGTGTGTGTGAAAAAAACTGTCGCTTTTTGCCTCACTGTAGGAAGCTGTCTGCATTTTGGTCTTATGAATGATTTTATTCTGTAACACAACACTGGGCCAAAATTTGGGCATTGATTGATTGGCAGCTGACCTCCAGTCCTAGGCAACAGGTAAAATGTTTCAGAGTTTTGAATTTCTGGTAAAATTCGCTTTGCTGTGCAGTACCTCCAAACAGAGATCCACAAAGGGGAATAGTTATATGTCCTCCAGAGCCCATCCCTTTCTCATTAATTTGTACCTAAAGTCTTTGTAATTCACTCTGAGACATTGGAAGCACAAAAGGGGTCTTACATTCCTTGAAATTACAGACTTGTGTACAGTATTTTGCTTTCTTTACTGCTTGCATACTTAGCAACCAACCTGACAAATCCACAGCAAACAAACAACTGCCTGCTTCCAACAAAGAAAGAGAGGGAAAGAAACACTCAACAGAGAGGCGGGTCTGTCTTTGAAATAAAAGGCTGGACGAAATGATTGGTTAGTGTTAGACAGACAGAAAATCACCAACCCAGAAAAGTCCTTCCCAGTCACCCAAACCAGAGAAACATTTGAGGCTGTAAATAAAACTCCAACATAAAATGCACATAAATATAGCTTTCTCCAACCTGAAACCCTCCAGATGTTTTGGACTACTGTTTCCATCATTCCTAACTAGAGATGGACATGAAACTCAGTTCGTTCCCCCACCTCCCTGGCTCGATCCCCCACTCACCAACCATCGTGCGCTCCTCCTCTTCGGCTTTTCAGCCAGTCTCCGGCAGACAGAAAAGTCCTTCCCAGTCACACAAACCAGAGAAACATTTGCGGCTGTAAATAAAATTCCAACATAAAATGCACCTAAAGATAGCTTTCTCCAACTTGAAACCCTCCAGATGTTTTGGACTACTGTTTCCATCATTCCTAACTAGACATGGGCATGAAACTTGGTTCGTTCCCCCACCTCCCTGGCTTGATCCCCCACTCACCAGCCATCCTCCTCTTCGGCTGTTCCACCAGTCTCTGGCAGAAGCATGGGCTTCCCTGCCCCACCTCCTTGGCTGATGGCCCACCCACACAAGGAGTCGGGACAGGCACACCCATGCTCCTGCCAGAGACCAGTTGAACAGCCGAAGAGGAGGAGGAGAGGAACGCACGCTGCCTGGTGGGTGGGTCATTGGCCGGGGAGGCGAAGGAGAGGAAGATGTGGCACCACAGGTACGAACCTCCAGACTGAGTTTCGTGCCCATCTCTATTCCTAACTTTAATTTTCAGTGATCAGGAGTGGTGGAAATTATAGTCGAAAGCATCTGAAGAGCCATCATGTTGGGGAAAGGCTGCTCTAGAAAATGTGACCAACTCTTTCCTACCTGGCCAGCGTGGCTGGTTATCCCATCTATTTTTCTTGATAGTGTTCTGCTTCTCTTGCGTTCTGTTTTCTTCAGCTACAGGCAGTCTTGGGTGAAACAGACTATTTAGATCTGCTCTGCTCTGGTTTATAGCCTGCTGTGATTTGGAAGCAGCATCAACTATTCTGGTGAATGATTTATGCTAAAGAATCAAGGAAGGTAGCATGTTTTGCTCAAGTCTTGCTTATATTTACCACAGATTACGGCCATGCACTCTTCATGGGTAGCCTTTGAAGACGGTGGAGGATTTTCGCTGTTTGAAGAATGAAACAGCCTGAAACAGGGTGTTGGAATAGCCTATAAATGTAGCCCAAATTCTGCCTCAACAGGACCCATTGCTAGTACTAATGTTAACGGTTAAGGCACTAAAACGTTTGGCAGCTACTGTGTTTCCCTGAAAATAAGACAGTGTCTTATTTAAATTTTTGCTTCAAAAATGCATAAAGGCTTATTTTCAGGGGATGGTTTATTTTTTTTTTCATGTACAACCATTAAATATGGGGAGTATTTGTATTTGTACATGAATACGAATGCCCCCATCTCTAAGAACCATCTGCATTTATTCAAATACCGTCATGTCAACTTCTTCTGGTTGCTACCCAAGGGTGGAGAGCAGGGTTTCACTTAACTGGGGCTTATTTTGGGGGTGGGTCTTATATTAGGAGCATCTTGAAAAATCATGTTGTTGTTTAGTCATTTAGTCGTGTCCAACTTTTCGTGATCCCATGGGCCAGAGCACGCCAGGTCCTCCTGTCTTCCACTGCCTCCCGGAGTTCAGTCAGACTCATGTTGTTTGCTTGGGTGACCCTGTCCAACCATCTCGTCCTCTGTCGTCCCCTTCTCCTCTTGCCTTCACACTTTCCCAACATCAGGGTCTTTTCCAGGGAGTCTTCTCTTCTCATGAGATGGCCAAAGGATTGGAGCCTCAGCTTCAGGATCTGTCCTTCCAGTGAGCACTCAGGGTTGATTTCCTTTAGAATGGATAGGTGTGTTCTCCTTACAGTCCAGGGGACTCTCAAGAGTCTCCTCCAGCACCACAATTCAAAAAAAAAAAAATCATACTAGGGCTTTAGGTCTTATTTCATGGGAAACAGGGTACCTGCCACCTACATCCATATGAACCTGCCCAAGAAGCATTACAGTCAGTTACAGA